GGTGTGTCTATCGCTGTCGGCGGTCACGTGTGGACCCAATCTATGTAAAAATGGGGCCAAATTGGACTCAATAGCATACGTCGGGGCAACGAAACAGTGGTTCTTCACGAGTGGCGGCCACTACTGGTTACTCAAAGACAGCGAATTCCCGCCCAAAGTGGACGGAACTCCTCTGCCGGGAGGCTTCGTGAGAGGGGACGCGGCCTTCCTTAAGGACACAATGACCGCGTGCTCGAAGGCCACAATGGAGCAGGAGATCCACGTGATCGAGAAGGTGTCGGGCAGTAATAAGGTGATGATCTACGACCTCCGCAGCCACTCCTGGTCCAAGAGTCCCATTTCGTACAGCGAAGACAAAGGCATAGCTCAGGCCAAACTGAATTGGAGGGAAACCATTGACGCCACGTTCGTCTTCCAGAAGACAAAGATCTTCTTCCTTCAGGGAAAGAAGTACTCAGTGGTCGACATCTCCGGTCTGTGTGTGGATCCCAAAGGCTATGGAAACGGTTCCGATCCCAACGACATCACGGATCTCAACGTCCAGACGACGGTTGACGCCACCACTGGAACCGGTGACGACCAGAGTTTCTTCCTGTTTCAGGACCAGACCTACTGGAGGATTGATGTCACGAAACTCAAGTACGGAAAGGCGACGACTCGGAAGAATATACAGCAAGACGTGACCACCGAGTTCTTTAGGTACAAAGAGAATTGTGTTTTGCCCGCCGGAGGCAAACAATTGGACGCCGCGGGCGGGGCTGGAGCTGCAGGAGGAGGAGGCGCTGCCGGTGGAGCGGGTGCTGGCGCTGGAGCTGCTGGTGGTGCCGGAGCCGGTGCGGGAGGGGGTGGAGCGGATCAGGCGTCGACGGGTCAGCCACAGGCAGCCGAAGACGCAACTGACGGCTCTAAGAAGGAAGAGGGCGGTGGCAACGCTTGGATCATAATCGTCATTATAATCATCATCATTGTTATCATAGCACTCGTGGTGTTGGCGTGTCTTATGATGAAGAAGAAGGACCCGAACGAAGGCGCGGCCGGAGCCGGTGGGGCCGGTGGAGCGGCGGGCGCTGAGGCGGGCGGAGTGGGCGGTGCGGGTGCCCACGGATCCAAAGTGGGCTCGACGTCGTCTAACCTATCGGTGCGATCAAAGCAGGGTTTGGCCGACGGCGGCGCCGGCGGCTCAAAGACAGGCGGATCCCACGGATCCAAAACAGGCGGTGGCGGCGGTGGCGGCGGAGGCGGCGGTGGAGGCGGTGGTGGCGGCAAAGCCTCCAGCAGTTTGGGTGAAACCCCATCAAAGATGTCCGTCCGATCAAAAGCCACTTAATATACAGCGGTTCCAGTCTTTGTGTGCCGTATATTTAAAATTCAAATCCAATTCATTTCATTAGATTTAATCTGTAGTCCTCGTCCACAACACCCGCCCCGACGTCTATCGAGTGCTTCACTGCCAGACCAGAGCGCGGGGCGACCCGACCGTAACAACCCATCGGAACCGCTATACTTATGTCGGTCTTCACCTATCGATACAAACAATCAATCATTACATCCAATCACTCATTGCATCCAATCATGTCTTCAGAGACTAACCAATTGTTGGCCGCGTTTGGGAACCGTATAGTCATAGGCGGAGTAGAGGTCATAACCGGCCGACCGCTCAGACCCTCGGGTCGGCGCAAACGCGTTGTCCGTTATCTTCGAGAACTTGAGCTGACTCTTGGGCACTGAAGTCATGGTTGTCTTTGCGTTCAATTGATCCACACTTTGACTGTTTTAGTGAAACTCAAAATTAACTTCAATTGTCTTTTGCAAACACTTTATTGTCTTTCACTATATTTTGCGCCAAATTTTGTTTAAAACTCACATAAAGTATGAAAAATGCGATAAAAATGTTTGCATTTTATTTATGACTGAATTATTGTCCCAAATATAAGTCAATACAACTTTTATTTGATTTATATTTCACTTAATTATGTTTAAATTCAAACTAATTGTTAAAGTTTTGATAAAATATATTATTTTTATTTAAATCCGGTTTTAATATAAATGAATGTTATTTATGAACACAATTACGTAATGCTATATATTGATATATGGAAACCGTTCACAACTAACGTTACGCTACACTTTTAAAGCCCCCTTAAGTTGAAATCAAATGGAAAGACCGGCAAACAAATGGAATTCCCCTCAAAATGATAACATTATATATAGTGTTGTGAATGCAATCCAATTGTTGTGACATATTAATAAAAGCCAAGCAATCATTGAATGTATGACTGAATGAGTCAACAGAGCTTTGAAGTGATTGTCATTTAATTGTTTGTTTCACTCAATTGTCTATCAGTTGTGTATTCATTGACACCAAAAACACATTCAATTCAATCCCAACTATAATTGAAATCTAAATTCAATTTAAATCCAATGGAGAGTAAGTGTTGTTAATATTTCTTAATGTAAATCGATATGTGTTTTCGTAATGCAATTAAATGATTGATATATTGATTGAAACGCCCTTTGAATACGCGATTCAATTGTAATGATAATGTGTTTATACTTTCAGAGCATTTATTTAATCTGAAATTTGCGGCCAAAGAGTTGGACAGGAATTCACGGAAAGCCGAAAAGGACGAGAAGGTGGAGAAAATGAAGTGCAAGAAAGCCATCCAAAAAGGTATGCCATCTTCGCTGCCGATGCGGTCATAATGAGTGTGTATTTGTGTCCAAACCATAGGCAACATAGAAGGCGCCAGAATTCACGCCGAGAATGCCATCCGTCAGAAGAATCAGGCGCTTAATTACCTGCGAATGTCGGCCCGTATCGACGCCGTGTCCTCACGAGTACAGACCGCTATCACTACCAAACGGGTGACTCAATCGCTGGGCGGTGTCGTCAAAGCCATGGACTCCGCCATGAAATCAATGAATTTGGAGAAAATATCGCAAATTATGGATAAATTTGAGAAACAGTTTGAAGACTTAGACGTCCAGTCCTCGACTATGGAGAGCGCAATGTCGTCAACCACTACCATCACTGCGCCCGAGAATCAAGTGGACTCTCTTATGCAACAGGTGGCCGACGAGGCCGGGTATGTGTCCACACATTTATACCTTATTTTTGTTGTCTTAAGTTTTTCTAATGTAATGTTTGTGTTGTGATTGCGATAGACTTGAACTGAATATGGAGTTACCGGCGGGTGAGATGGGTTCGGTCGGGACGGCGACCGCCGCCTCCACAGAACAGGACGATCTCTCCAAACGTTTGGCACAATTGAGACAAATGTGAAGTACTTTTTAACAACCATTTAGTACTTCTTTTCCACAACTATTGTATTATAAAAATTTAATTTAATTCTCGAGTCAATTGAGTTATTATTAATTAAAATCCATTTTAAAGTTCTTATAAAACACTTAAGATATTTTTATTCACATTTATAATGAAAACATTATTATATTATTATAAATCTATAATAAAATTAGTTACACTTCAATGAAAAAATGTTGAAATAAATAATGATTAGTTGTTTTGATAAAAGCACACGATTTTAGTAAAATAAAAAACATTTAGGTTTTGGTCAGAAATTGGTAAAAATGCTAAGATTTTTGGGCAAATTGTGTGTATTTTGAATCTCAATGACAGTGAAGTATGGATTATATTTGGATCGCATGTCGATGTCAGCGAACAGATGCCGGAAATAGACTTTCGGTCGCTTTAAGGCCATTGCGATTAACGCGTCGATCGTCTTGTATGTGATGTTCGGTCGCGAGAAGAACTGAATGGATGTCAGTTGAGGACAGTTTGCAATCAATTGACACATTCCCTCATCGATACGCTCTTTCGATATGAAGTGCTTTTTCGATGTTTTAATGACAATAACCGACAGTTTTGTCAGTTTGGACAACGAGTTCATCGTATTGTTAGTGATCTCGTCGTTGAAACTGATGTTCAAATGAGACAATTGTGGTAAATATCTGTCGATATCAGTGAAGAAGTTGTCGCTTAGATTCAGCGATATTAGAGACAAATGAGTTAAATGTCTGTACGATTGCAACGCTTTGACACAAATGGGTTGATTTTGATCGACATTGTAATTGGATCCAAACGTATCCAATTCTAAATGTCTTAAATTATCATAAGTTCGCATACTATCCAAAAGAGTGGACACAATCAATGACTCGATCTGTGCGCTGAAGCAAAAACTCTTCAGTTTATGGCATTTAATGCCTATATTTCTAATATTTAGTGCCATTTGTGGCGAATATTCTTTGGACTTAATCGATGTTAACTTCAATTCCTCCAAAGCGTCCAAACAATCGATTTTAGCGATCAAAGTGTTTTCGGTCAACACTTGACCCGAAAAGCCGTTCAATATATGCAGACATTTGACACAATGCTTATACTTGTGGACAAAACTGTCGACAAGTCTCTCATCGCTCTCTTCGTAGAAGAGTTTAATTTTAGTCAGTTTTGACAAATAGATGTCTTCGTCGACGAAATACGATAACTTGACGCCCAGTAATGTCCGCACATTTGGACACAATTTTATGAGTTTCTTATAGTTATTATCTCTCACTTCGTGGGCTTCGGTGGCAATCAATTGCAATGAATTACACAAAACAAACACAAAATCAATTGAAACCAATTGTGGGCCGAATTTATGGCCAAACTCTTTGAGTGTCTGTTCAGTGATGTCGTGAAACTTGAGTGATATAGCGGTCAGACGCGGACAATGTTTGGCAATGGCTTTGACGGCAAACTCGCGATTATTGAACTCACAATTGAAGGCAATCTCATGAATGGCTCTACACTTCTTCAGCACCGACTCGAAGGCCGTCTTATTTAAGAGGATTTGCTTATCGTTTGAATAATAATCTCTTTTAACCATAAGTTTAAACAAATTGTTTTTATCGTTAGTCTTGTTCTCCACTCTTAAGACATGCTGTTTGTTGTAAATCAGTCTCTGGAAGCGCTTACACACCGATTCCAAGCGGATCTTGTCTTCAAACCACAGGTGACTCAGTATTAGTTCACATAAATCATCGCAAATGCGGCCATTGAACGAGCGGTGATCACTTGTGGTGGCCATCACTTGATCCAAACCATCACTTCAGCCAATTATCACACAAACAGTGCATTCATTGAAACAATTTTGTAATTTCCAAATTGTAAACAAGTTTTACATGCATTTCATGTCCGCATAAATAATGTCATGTTTTACTCACGCTTTCAATGCATTTGTTTCGTAAATAATGCTATAAAAAGGGCTCAAAAGGGGACCAAAAATGTTGAATAATTGTAACGATATTTATGCGCAAAATATTTGAATGCATTGAGTCATTGAAAGTGAGACACACTGTCATTGTTTGAGACAATATCACTGGATTTGATCCCTAATAAAGTGAGCACTCGTGTGTCAGCCAACATGTCTTCAGTGGATTCGCCGAAACGGTGGTCACACTTGAGTAAAGTGACGGAAAGAATGGGTCCTTTCGTTGTGGACGGCTTCGAGGGCTCGCCTCTGGTGTTGGAAGCGGTGAAAGAGTGTCGCGTTTTGGTGATCGGCGCGGGAGGGCTCGGCTGCGAACTCATGAAAGACTTGGCGCTCATGGGCTTCATGAACATCTCGGTGATCGACATGGACACCATCGACTTGTCGAACCTGAACCGGCAGTTCCTGTTCCGGACGGCAGACATCGGCAAATCCAAGGCCGAAGTGGCGGCGAAGTTCGTGATGGACCGCATCCAAGGCTGTCGTGTTGTCCCGCATTTCGCCAAAATACAGGACTTTGACGACGAGTTTTACCGTCAGTTTCAAGTGATTGTCTGCGGTCTGGACTCAATCATCGCTCGCCGTTGGATCAATTCAATGGTCTATAATCTGCTTCAGTTGGACGAAGAGACGGGAGAAGTGGTGTCCACTGTTCCGCTCATCGATGGCGGCACCGAAGGCTTCAAAGGCAACGCTCGCGTCATTCTTCCGGGTTATGGCACGCCGTGTATTGAATGCACTCTCGACTTGTTTCCACCGCAACTCAATTACCCGCTCTGCACAATAGCCCACACGCCTCGACTTCCGGAGCACTGCATTGAATACGTGAAAGTCCTGTTGTGGCCGAAGGAGAAGCCCTTTGGCGAAGACGTCGGCATCGATGGCGACGATCCCTCACACTTGCAATGGATTTACGAGAAGTCTGTTGAGAGGGCCCAGGAGTTCAACATAGAGGGCGTCAACTATAGGCTCACTCAGGGAGTAGTGAAGCGCATAATACCGGCCGTCGCGTCCACTAATGCGGTGATAGCGGCCGCCTGTGCCACAGAAGTGTTCAAAATTGTCACCTCTTGTGCGCCGCATATGAAGAATTACATGATATTCAACGACAGCGAAGGCATCTATACGTATACCTATGAGGCCGAGAAGAAAGACGACTGCATTGTCTGCAGTAATGTTCCCAAAGTTATTAAATTCAAAGCCGAAGACAAACTCGAAGACGTGATGGAGTACCTGATGAACGAGTATCAGATGCGAGCGCCCGGTATTGTCACCACCACTGCTGAGGGGAAGACTAAATCGCTTTATATGAAAAACGTGGCCTCAATTGAACAGATGACTCGACCCAACCTCAAGAAGACACTCCAAGAGCTCAATCTCGTCGATGGACAGCATCTGATTGTGGCCGACGTCACGACTGTTAACTCTTTGACGTTTATTCTTAAATTTGTTTAAAGGATTTAATTATTTTCACTTAAAAAGTAATTCACATTTTTCACAATTTTGAAGACAATGTTTATAAATAAATACATTTAAATCAATAATAAATGATTAAAATTATATCATAATCTCTAAAATACTGATAAATGGTATTTAAGGAATGTCTTTACAACTGGTTTCTGGTATTATATTGTGATGAATATGAGAAGACATTAACGAACTGATCCCACGAACAATCGGCCATTTGGTCAATAACATGACGATTGAAGTCCAGAGCAAACACGAACTCCGTGTGCGCCTGCGATGTGAAGACCAGTCCATTGTTTGTGTTGATGTCCCACAAGCGAGTGGTCATGTCATAAGAAGTGGATCCGATCACTGAATCTCTGTGTGGCGAGAATTTGACACATTTGACGGCTTTTGTGTGACCGGAGAGTGTGTGCATCGGATGAAGCGGTGCTCTGATGTCCCAAACATTGATCAAACCGTTTGTATCACTCGTTGTGATCAGGAATTGATTGAATTTATTCCAATCACACGACAGTATTTCACCTGAAATAACGAAAACATTGATACAAAACATTCAATGAGTCTAAGAAGTGGTCACTCACTCTGGCCTTGGCTTATGTTAAGCATCGGTTGGCTTTGTTTTAATGACCAGATCTTGAGTGTCGAGTCACCGGAAGCGGTGGCAAACGTATTGGCGATGAATGGCGACCACTGACCGCAGTATACAATGCTTTCGTGGCCTACAAATGCGTGGATCGGTTGTGCGGTCGACGCGTCCCATACCTTAGATGACATATCGGACGATACGGTCAACACGTACTGAGTGTCGAACACTCGCGGCGACCAATTGATTGAATAGATCTCCTGATTATGACCTCTTAGGGCACAAATGGGCCGATCAGTGGAAGCGCTGCTCAACTCCCAGACATATATGAAGCCATTGGCGCTAACCGTCCACACGATGTTTGGTTGGCTTTCACTCGTTGTGTTCAGTATGTTACCCAGCGGCAAACTCCCGTACTCAGCTAACGTAGCCTAGACGCCAGGGACTTCTCACAGGTAGTAAAGGTTCAGTATGTTTCGCGGCGAAGGATACTCAGTTTCGTTTTTGTCTTTAAATTATAGGCAAAAAGTGATGTCAACTCCAAATGAGACAATCATTACCGGCGATGCCGTAGTTCTGCGCCGAAACACAGCCCAGTCTTCGCGGGTGATGTGGACTGAAGGCAACGCCATAGCAGTTAAAGCCATTTGTCTTGAACTGAAGAACCATTCCTCAGCTTTAGATTGACATTCAATTCATTCAAAACATTGTTTACAAAAACAAATTCACGCATTCATTGCGTAAACACTCATTCAGTCTATTATATGACAGATAATACTGAAAGGGCGTAACTCTGAGCCTAATATGTGTTACAGTTATGCTGTTTTGTGTAATTAATAATATTGTGATGCAATGCATAATAACGTCGCGAAATGTTTGCCAATTAATGGAGGATTTAGTGAACAAAGCATTGAATGAATGCACAGAAAAGTTGTGCCCTTTTTGGCCGTAATTGACGGCAATTGCGTACAAATGGCGCCAAATGTGTGGAAAATCGGCGCAAAAGTGTTGACAGCTTTGAGTGAAAGACACCAAACAGTGAAGACATCGTCGCAGACATTGTTTCGCGCATTCAGTGCTCGTAATCAACGTATGGATCAAATCAACGCTAAGAGACTCCGCACTCATGAGCCCAAGAGTCAGCTCAAGTGGTCGAAGATAACGGACAACGCGTTTGCGCCGACCCGAGGGTCTGAGCGGTCGGCCGGTTATGACCTCTACTCCGCCTATGACTATACGGTTCCCAAACGCGGCCAACAATTGGTTAGTCTCTGAAGAC